TACTTCCATTGAACTGCCTTATTAACTTAAAAATCAACGTCTTAACTTACATTTAAAAATGTAGTTGTCCTCGACCGCTGTGTCTACCACCTCCATAGCTGCCGCCATTGCTGGAAACTGGAATTGGCAGAGCCGTGCTATGAATTCTGGGATATGGTGGGCTACAAAGGATACACACGACCCACCCTTCAAATTGAAATGACAGACGCATTTGTCGCCACATTTGAAGGAGTCGACGAATTGTGACAGCCTTCGTCACCTGGCTATGGTACTGCTGGGGGTTTCTTCCTGTTAAAAGGGAGTTTTTCCTTCCGACTGTCGCCAAAGTGCTGCTCATAGGGGGTCATATGATTGTTGGGATTTTCTCTGTATGTATTATTGTAGGGTCTACAACATAAAGCGCTGTGAGGCAACTGTTGTTATGATTTGACACTGTGTAAATTGATTTGAAAAGCAGTGCCTCTAGAGCCTGAAAAGGATGCTCGCTATGAAGACGAATACACCGCTTGTGTAAACAACATGCTGGAAGGATATGCTGAATTTGTGTCTGCAGATCGTACGAGTTCTCATCCGATTTAGACAAGAGCCTGTTGCACTAATGGCTGACCGATGCCATGCTTCACCAAGTTTACATATTAGAGAAACATGTCAAGTGTCTCTTTCCTGTGGTGGCAACATGGTGACACTACAAGGCCTGCACAAGAGTATAGGATGAAAGTGCTTTTCTTTTCTTTTTTAATTTGGGAGGAGTATCTTCACCAAACTGTCCAAATTATGCTCTGCAGAGAACTGCAAATGATAATGCACAACAGTTTCCAGCTGAAGTGGTGAATAGAGTCAAAAATATTTTTTATGTTTATGAGTGTTTACAATCTATTGCTTCATAAGAAGAAAAAGTACATATGGTGGAGAGCCTGACTGATATTTGTACTAATGGATCAGCAATAGTCGCACAGTGCTCATGTCAATCCCACAGGAAAGGAGGGCAAAGAAAATCAAGGATCTGGATTTGGACACAGATCAACTTCCAAGTGAGAGAGCAGTGGGTTTAGAGTGGTGCATAGAAACAGATGAGTTCACCTTTGTGCAGGACAATCCACCAACCAGAAGGCACATTTAGTCTGTGGTCAGCTCATTGTATGGACCGTTGGGAATCTTGTCTCCCTACATCATCTGGAAGATCTCCAGCTGATTTAAAAGTGAAACGCTGCATTAAACTGAGTTTCTATGGAAGACCAGATAAGGCACAACTTCATCATTCTTCTGATGCAAGTCAAGATAGTTATGGAACAGTGTCATATTTAAAACTGAAAAAGAATAACATCACATGTTGACTTTATCCTGGGAAAAGCTAGGGTTGCTCCCCTTAAGAAAACTACAATTCCCAGGCTGGAATTCACTGCTGCAGCTCTTGCAGTTCCAGTGAACATGCTTCTGCAAAAAGAGTTGCAGATAAGTTGGACAAATCATTTTTCTGGACTAATATAATACAATGCATCTCCAATGAAAACCTGTTACGTTCCCCTGAGGGTCTAGGCGGGGAGGGGAAGTAACAAAAGTGACCGGGTCAGAAAAAGGAGTCAGGGAGGCAAAACAGTTAAATTAAAGAGTTTTATTAAAGTAGCTCAACTAAAAGAGACGGACAAGCCGTTATCACCATTTAAGAAAAACAAACAAAACTCAGGCGTTGGTCAATAAAGCAAAGTCAAAAGGAAAGCGCAGCTCACTAGCTGGAAACCACAAACACAGCTCACTAGCTGCAAACACCACAAAACACACACAGCTCACTAGCTGCAAACACCACAAAACACACACAGCTCACTAGCTGCAAACACCACACAAAATGGCACTCTGGCCCAGAGCTCACCTTTCCCTGGGCTTAAATACTTTTAATTACTGATGTGAGTCAGCTGTGTTACAGGGAAAGGTGGCACCTCAGGCAGAAGAGGTGGTGGGACACGCCCACACAGGCACCTTCAGGAGGAGGCCCTGCTAGGGCCGTAACACCCCCTCCCATAAATACAAACCTGTGGTTTGTCAAATTATCTCGATAACCAAAATGATTAATCAAGTCCGTAACCATTGCATCACCAAATTGCAGGTTTTCCACCTACCAAACCCCATAGCAACGGTTAGGCATTGTCAGCGGAAGCTGCCAACCCCATCTCAATGGGTTCAAAATACTTACTGAAGGTGGCCCCAGACCCTCAAAACAATGTCTCATGTGATGGCTAGGGCTTTTTTGAGCCATCACATGTGGAGAACACAGGCAGTCAGAAGACCTTTCTGCAACACTTTGCAGACGATTCCTCAAGTCACCGGTACAGGCATGTTTGTTAGCCAGGGTTGCGGGTCTTACTGGTGGTTTTATACACAGCCTGTCCCCCTGCAGGTCATTTTGGGGACCTGGGAAATTGTCAACCAGCGGCCGCTCAGGGTTAATTGATCCCTTACACTGACCACAGGAGCCCCTTAAACAACTATGCCCCAAGTGTGGTCCTTTGCTGGGCCTGACAACCTTGTTAGTTTGAGAACCATGAGTGACTGTTTTCAAATCAGGCCTTCTTCCCTTTCGATACGCTTTCCGCTTAAGTGCCAGTTTCACACAATCAGCAACCACATGGCCAGGCTTGTGGCAGAAGAAACACAGTTTTGCTTTGGAACTTGAAACCACCACTTTTTCAGCCTCGTTAGCTGGCTCCCTCCTAGCTCTCCAAGATGTATTGTAGTGAGAAGGGATGTCACATTCTACAGCATTTGTTTTATGAGTTAGGGTAAACTCATCTGCCAGTATGGCAGCCTGCTGTAAAGTGGAAACCCTCTGTTCACTTAAATAAAGAGCAATACACTCAGGAACAGAGTTTTTAAAATCCTCCACAAGCATGAGCTCACGTAACGACCCCAAACTTTTAACCTGGCTTGCAGAGCACCACCTACCAAAAAGCTTTGCCTTCTCCCGAGCAAAGTCAAGGTAGCACTGACCCTGTGCCAACTCCAAACCTCGAAAGTTCTGCCTATAGGCCTCAGGCACAAGTTCATAGGCTTGGAGGACAGCACTTTTAATCTTTTCATAAACTAGGCTGTCCTGCATAGACAGACCAGAGCAAACTTCCTGAGCCTTACCTGTGAATTTACACAGCAACATCACCCCCACACGTCTTCAGGCCACTGTAATGCAGTTGCTATGCTTTCAAATACACTGAAGAAGCTCTCAACACTGGATTCACAGAAAACGGGAACCAGGTGGATGTTATTGCCCACAAACGAGCTTCTAGACACCTGTTCACCAACAGATGTAGGCCCAGTGCTCGTCAGCTCCAGCTGATTCAACTGGAACGCCATTCCAGCCTGAAGAAACCACCCCACACACCTGTGCCAGTTCTCACAGGCTAGCCAACAATAAATGGTAACCGAACAACTTACTCTTCTTGACCAACTTACCTTTTGCTACACACACATTAACAAATACAACCTACCCAGTTCCTAAGCACAACAAACTTTACCTACCTATCTTCTGGAGCGTGCTGGGCTCGAGGCAACTTGAAAGGCAGAACTTCAGCGACCGGAGCCCTGAATTGCCTACCCCCAACAGGGAACTAATCCCCGCCCAGGATTACTCCGAAAATAAAAAAAAGGCAAAATAACAAAAGAGTGCCCGAAGGAAGAACTTAAAACGAAGCTCAGCTGGACACTCACCTAACTAAACTGGGAAGTTGAACCTCTAAAGGCGAAAAAAAAAAAACCCCAAGATAATCAAAAACCAATTCCAACTCAAAACTCCCTTTTCAACGATCCCGGACGAGCCCCCACTTGTTACGTTCCCCTGAGGGGTCTAGGCGGTGAGGGGGAAGTAACAAAAGTGACCGGGTCAGAAAAAGGAGTCAGGGAGGCAAAAGGGTTAAATTAAAGAGTTTTATTAAAGTAGCTCAACTAAAAGAGACGGACAAGCCGTTATCACCATTTAAGAAAAACAAACAAAACTCAGGCGTTGGTCAATAAAGCAAAGTCAAAAGGAAAGCGCAGCTCACTAGCTGGAAACCACAAACACAGCTCACTAGCTGCAAACACCACAAAACACACACAGCTCACTAGCTGCAAACACCACAAAACACACACAGCTCACTAGCTGCAAACACCACACAAAATGGCACTCTGGCCCAGAGCTCACCTTTCCCTGGGCTTAAATACTTTTAATTACTGATGTGAGTCAGCTGTGTTACAGGGAAAGGTGGCACCTCAGGCAGAAGAGGTGGTGGGACACGCCCACACAGACACCTTCAGGAGGAGGCCCTGCTAGGGCCGTAACAAAACCGAACATTTAGTATCTTTGCTGCAAACAGAATTTCTGTCATTCGAGAAGCAACAGATGTGAATCAGTGGAGAGATGTTTCCTCCAAGGAGAACCTTGCAGAGATGATCCATCCATAAGTATGAAAGGTTTCCTCAAATGTGGGGATGGTTAAATAGTCCAGAATTTCCCTACAAGAAGAGGAGGAATGGCCTAAACTGGATATGGATCACAGTGTGATTCCTGCAGATGACCCAGGGATCAAAAAGGACCTGACAGACTACCTTTTCAGTCAGCTGTCTTAAATAATTATGGGCTATCATTGACCAGTTTTAGGTTAATTATGGAGTTCCACGCTGGTGAGCATGTTTTTGCTGTTTGTTTGTTTTTTGCTTCAGACTACGCAGTATTTTAAACAGCAGATTAAAATGCTGATTCCTGAATTTTCACACTGCTCTGTCCTCAAGGGGGCAGCAAACCCTCACATACGAGTCAGATTATGTTCTTATGGTTTAGGACAGAAAGTCCTGCTCTTTTCCTCTGTTCGTGTTCACACTGAAAAATTAAGCCTGTTATAGTCCTGATGTGCTTCGAGACGTCAGGACTGTTTTAAAGCTTCACGTGTAATAGTCAGCAGAGGTGTGACCACATTTCATACTTGCCTCATATTACTCAATCTTCCTCTTCCTGCCGTCTTTCACTGCTGCTCGGATCAGAAACCCTCCAAAGTATCATCAGCGCTCCTGTTTCTGTAAGTCTGAAACACATTCCCACCTTCTGCTCACAGCTTTAACTGACTTGACGACAGCTTATTCTAGGTAGTAGCAGTAGTTACTAATTTGTAGTATCAGTGTTTGAGTTTTACAGGGTCAGTGCTGTCTGAACAAACAGAGGGACTTCTTGGTTATTTTCTGCCACAGTCATACATGAACGATCACCGACTCGTGTACCACTTTTTATCTGATTTATCTGCTTTTATGGGGAATTAAACACACTTCCTGAGATTTACTGTAAAGAAAAATGAGAATAAACAGGAAATTTCACAAGTCCAGAAAGTTCCCTTCAGCTGTAACCTCAGAGCAGCACAGTGAAAGGGAGAAGTCCTCTGTTCTATTTATCAGTGTGTGTGTGTATATATATATACTCAATAAATTAATCATATATATATACACTTAGAACCGTTTATATTTAAAGGTGATTACATTATTATTGATGCTGTATTTATGGTGACATGATTAGCTTACAGTGAGCAACATTAGCTTTAAAAGGTCTAGAACACCCTGTTGGTTTTTTCATATTGTATTTTTCAACCATGAAGTTGTTTCAGATTAAAATCTATTATTCGACAGAGAATTGGCGAATCTGAGTTAGATTGATGCTATTGAACTATTTTGCTAATAAACTATTCTACAGACTGTGCTAATATACTGTGTTTGTTACTGTAAGGTTTATTTTACTGAGAGAACTGTTGTTGTAAATTGGGGCAATATAAATAAAGTTGAATTGAATAAAGCCAAGCTAACTTTATTTATACAGCAAAACAGTCCTGGGTCAGTGACTGAGTGTATTGTTATTGTAATTTGTTATCTGTAGTGTTTAATATAAGTTTAGTTCTGTGCCTCTGTGATTTGTCTACGGATTTCCTGTTTTTTCCATTTTCAAAGTCTGTGTCTTCTGTTGGTGTATTCTGTTTTCTGCACCTGGTCTCAATTTGCCCAATTGGTTCCAGCTGTTATTTCACCTGTTCCTCGTTCTCCCCCGTTCCCAGTAGCAGGGGCGACATCGTGGTGCGTGGCAGCATCACGGACATCGGCAAAAAAAAAAAAAAATGCTCTAACTCATGCTGCCCCGACGTCAGCGAGCGCATATGGGGAATGGCATAGGCACCGATCGGTTTTCTATCGCCCATTTGCTGGGAGTAAGGGCACCCTCCGTTTGCGAGGTGCGCCCAGGGAGGAGAGGGCGGGCGGCGGGGGATTTTCTGACCAGCTGGAGCGACATCTAATAACCAACTTGCAAAATAAAAACAAACCAACAAACACGGAAACATCAGACATCATGATACAGACTTATGATTTGCACAGATGTTTTTCGAAATTCTATATGCGAAAAGTGAGCGCGAGAGCCCTCGGTGCGCCTGCTCGCTGCTGAAGTCAAAGTAAACTTTATTGTCATCTCCGCTACAGACAGTCCAGTATATAGAGAGAGGAGACGACGAGGCTCCAGTTACAGCAGTGCAAGTAAACAAACAATATATATAAGAAGAGTAAGAAAATAAATATACACCTTATGACCAGGGGTAAAGGGATCAATAACAATTTAAAATTTACAGTTTGATGATTTAAAGGGCAGCACGGTGGCACGGTGGTTAGCACTGTTGCCGCACAGCAAGAAGGTCCTGAGTTCAATTCCACCATCAGGCCGGGGTCTTTCTGTGTGGAGTTTGCATGTTCCGGCTTCCTCCCACCGTCCAAAGACATGCAGCTTGTGGGGATAGGTTAATTGGATAATCCAAATTGTCACTAGGTGTGAATGTGTGAGTGAATGTGAGTGCGAATGGTTGTCTGTCCCTGTGTGTTGGCCCTGCGACAGACTGGCGACCTGTCCAGGGTGTACCCCGCCTCTCGCCCTATGACTGCTGGGATAGGCTCCAGTGCCCCCGCGACCCTGAAAAGGATGAGAGGAAGCGGATGGATGGATGATTTAAAGTCTCACACACAACCCGTCGAAAGGGGAGGGGCCTGCTGCTTCCAAATAGAGCACATTTCATTTATAATGTTGTAAATCCAAGCCCATTATGTATTCATGATTTGAATCCTGGGTTGTGTGAAACCTCAGAAATAAACCCTAGACAAAGTGAATCTGTGAACTAAGGTGTAGGTGTGTTAGATCATATTGTGGTGATCCTTGGGTTGAGGGATGGGTGTTCATACTGGAGTGTAAAATTAAAAGCAATGGAAGATGGACAAGAAAAGTTCAAAGCCATCAGGTGCTCAGTTTAGAAAAAAGAGAAAAGAGGAGGAGAAACAAGCAAAAGATACAGTGTGATCGGATGATGGCAGCTCATCCTGAAACAATCAGAATCAGAATACTTTATTAATCCCTAAGGAAATTATGTGAGTTACAGTTGCTCCAAGAAGAAATGGTGAAAATAGCAACAGTAACAAACTAAACTCCAAACAATATATTATGTTACAGATTTTAATGTTAATTAGTCATTGTCAGGTGTTGATTTGTCCTGTTCTCATTGTATGACGAATTATGATGGCTGTTTGGTAGCCGTTTGCATACAATGTATACTCTCTCTTCGTGTGTGTGTGTGTGTGTGTGTGTGTGTGTGTGTGTGTGTGTGTGTGTGTGTGTGTGTGTGTGTGTGTGGGGGGGGGTCGGGGGGGCGCCAGAGGGAGTGTTCGCCCAGGGCGCCAAACAGGCTGGGACCGCCACTGCCCATTCCAGTCTGTGTATTTATAGTGCGTGTCCTTTGGTGCTTGTTGCCGCATCATACCATCATTTCTGCCTGTTTGTTCTGTTCTTATGTTATTTCAGTTTTGTATTTCGGCCAGCAATAAAGCTGTGGTTCTGTTAAGTTCACTTTTGCCTCCATAAGTCCTGCACTTGGGTTCTCTTCCAGCCTGCCTGCACACAGACCATGACAGAAAACATATAGATATTAAAACATAAATACAGTACCAGTGAACAATACAGAACACCAACATCAAGAATTAAGTATTGTACTTAGCTCAACATAACTGTGGCTCCACTGGGCCATGCAACAATAGTCATTGTTATTATAATTGTTAACATCACTCAGGGGTGATGTTACAGGGGTGCCCAATCCCGGTCCTCGAGAGCTACCGTCCTGCAGCTTTTAGATGCATCCTTGTTCCCACACACCTGAATCAAATGAATGGCTTGTTATCAGGCCTTTGCCAAACATGATGGCATGCTGAAGAGATCAAACCATTTGATTCAGCTGTGTTGGAGTAGGGATGCATCTAAAAGCTGCAGGACGGTAGCTCTCGAGGACCGGGATTGGGCACCCCTGCTCTATTACAACCAGAAATTATGTCAATTACAGAGTTATAATTTTAACATTTTAAGTATTAGTTTTTTACTAATAATATATAGAAGGGCGGAAAAGTCAGATCTGTCTGGCTATTCCGTACTTGCTTGCTTAACTTAACAGCTAATCTATCTTCCTTCAGCTGTGATGATGTCGGAGGACCTTCTAAACACTCTGGAAGATCTGGGAGATGAAGAGTTTAATAAATTCAAGTGGTTCCTACAGCAGACCGACGTCATTCAAGGCCCCATGACCATCAAGAAGAGCCGACTGGAGACAACAAGCAGGTGGGACACCGTGGACTTGATGGTGCAGACCTACAGACTTTCTGGAGCTGTTGAGGTGACCAGAAGGGTTTTAAAGAGGATCGGCAGGAATGACCTGCTGCTCAGTTTGTCTGTTATCAGGCCCAGACCCGAAGGTGAGTCACAGCAAGGGACAAACAGGAAGTCAGTCTGAGAAAGTTACATAGAGCTTTAACACTTTCAACATCTGTTTGTCAGTGAATGTCAGTGATTTGACCTCTCAGGCTCCTCTTCCTCAGACTGAAGGTAAGTCACTGCTTTGTTTTCCATACATTCCAGGCTTCTTTACTCCAAATATCTCAATGTGAAGTAACTGTGAGCATGACATTGAACTGTCACCTGGTTTTACCCATAATTCTTGGTTGTTTTATAGTCACTTATAATGTTGAACTCCACTGTAAAGGAACTTATACAAAATTCCTGTGTTAGCCCTTTGAGGTTCACAGCTCTAGACCTGGTATCCTCAGAGTTTACTTAAAAAAATTTTTTTTCAGTGTTCCTATTATCCTTATAATTATTTAGGTTACTACAGTATACTATTACAGCCTCAGTTAGTTCAGTTCTTTAACGATAGCTTCTCTCCTGTGATCTCCATCACATTCTTGAAAATGTCCTGGCAGACACAGCAAACCTGTCTACATGTACTGATATGCGACAGGCCAGATTCCCTGTGCATCCTGAATGGATTGCAGTTACCATCTCATGCTAGCAATGGCAAGGAACAGCAAAAACCAAAACTATTAAAAGATCAGAGAGGGAGGATATGCTCTATGGCCATCACATGCTAAATCAGGGGTGTTGAACTCCAGGCCTCAAGGGCCAGTGTCCTGCAGGTTTTAGATAACACCCTGGGTCAATCAAATGATTAATTCATCAGTAGGCCTATGGAGAACTTCAAGCTAATTAAATCAGCTGTGTTGAATCAAGGATACATCCAACACCTGCAGGACACCAGCCCTCGAGGTCTGGAGTGCCATACGCCTGTGCTAAATGCTTCCCATTTTCAGGGGTTGTCCTTTTCTTTCTCCAGTTCACCAAGCAGCTGATAATGACAATGGCTCGCTAGACATTGTGATCCCTCAAGTTCATGATGATCAAGCGAGATTCCTACCGTTCACATTTACTCATTTGAGTTCAAAAGATGCAGACCGCTAATAGACGTGCATAAAATCACTCCAGAAAAAATGGTCAGCTGCAGATAGCCAATACATGTCCAGTCGTACAGTCGTAGTGTGGCATTTTAGAGAATGACATGACAGCAATATGAGTTATACACAATATGTTTATCACCCTGTTTGACACAGATGTGATGGTTCCAGTACCAGAGCCTCAACCCATCACGCATTACCAACAGATGCTTCGATCAAACTTCCAGGACAAGTTTATGTGTGCACAAGAAGGGTGGGCAGAAGATAAACAGCGTCTGGCTGATATCTACACAGAACTATACATCACAGCTGGGTATGACATACATATCAACATACAGCATGAGGTCCGGCAGATTGAAAAGGCATGGAAGCCGGAAGAAACAGAGAAAGCCGTTAAACCCACAGACATATTCAAACATCCTTCTGGAGAATACAGACCCATTAAAACAGTGATGACCAATGGAATCGCAGGAATTGGAAAAACATTCCTTGTTCACAAGTTTGTGTTGGACTGGGCTGAACAAAGATACAATCAAGATGTGCATCTGGTTTTCCCCTTCACCTTCCGTCAGCTGAATCCACTGAAGGGAAAAAAATTCAGTTTGGCAGAGCTCATTCATGAATGTATCCCAGAAACTGTAGGCATCACAGAGGAGGCTCTTAATTACATCTTTAAAGATATTCAGTCATCGGGAATTACCAACTATGACAAAAGTAAATTCAAACTTCTGTTTGTGCTTGATGGGCTGGATGAGAGCCGCCTTCATCTCGACTTTCATTCTGAAGATATTCGCTCTGTCGATGTAACAAAGTCAACTAAAACAGATGTCTTGTTGAAAAAACTCATCAATGGAAAATTGCTACGGTCTGCTCGCATCTGGATAACCACACGGCCTGCAGCAGCCAATCAGATCCCTCGAGAGTTTATCAGCAGTACAACAGAGGTCAGAGGGTTCACTGACCCACAGAAAGATGAGTACTTCAGGAAGAGATTCAAAGGTAAGGAGCAAGCTGACAAAATCATCTCCCACATCAAGACAACAGGAAGCCTCCACATCATGTGCCATATCCCAGTCTTCTGCTGGATCAATGCTACAGTTCTAGAAGATGTGCTGAAAACAAGAGGAGGACAGCTGCCCAAGACCCTGACTGAGATGTACGCAGAGTTCCTGGTGTTTCAGATTGATCGGACAAAAGAAAAGTATGGCCCACAGAAAAGCATTGAATACATTAAGTCATTAGCAAAACTGGCCTTTCAGCAACTGGACAAGGGCAACCTGATCTTCTATGAAAAAGATCTGAGAGAGAGCAGCACTGATGTTAGTGAAGCCTCGGTATGCTCAGGAGTGTTCACAGAGATCTTCAAAGAAGAGCGAGGAAGGAAAGGGAAAGACGGGATGTTCAGCTTTGTCCATCTGAGTGTTCAGGAGTTTCTGGCTGCTCTTTATGTAAGGATGTCACTTAGTAACAGCAACATAAATGTCATGCCTTTACCACAACCATCACTGAAAAACCTTCGACTGCTTTTAAGGAAGACATCTTCAAAGAAGATCCACATGATTTCCATTGACAGGGCCTTGCAGAGTCCAAATGGACACCTGGACTTATTCCTTCGCTTCCTCCTGGGTCTATCACTGCAGACCAATCAGGATAAACTGCAGGACCTTCTAATGAAGAAAGACAGTGGCACAAAGACCAATCAGAAAACAGTCCAATACATCAGGAAGAAGCTCAGTGAGAATCTGTCTCCGGACAGATGCATCAATCTGTTCCACTGTCTGAATGAGCTAAATGATTGTTCTCTGGTGGAGGAGATCCAACAGTCCCTGAGTTCAGGAAGTCTCTCCACAGATAAACTGTCTCCTGCTCAGTGGTCAGCTCTGGTCTTCATCTTACTGTCATCAGAAAAAGATCTGGATGTGTTTGACCTGAAGAAATACTCTGCTTCAGAGGAGGCTCTTCTGAGGCTGTTGCCAGTTGTAAAAGCCTCCCACAGAGCTCTGTGAGTGCACGAATAACTGACACAGGGCTGTTATCAACTAGTAATTCTCAGTCAGCAGATCTTCATATAACTACATGCTAACATTAATTATGGCTTTAGATTTAGTATAAAGCTTACTTTAAGTTTAATATTTGAATTATAGCTGAGATTATCCTGTGAAAAAGCAACATAAAACCACTACTCAACTACCATCTTTTTTTTCCTCATGAAAACTTTAACTGAAATAACCTAACAGCGTTTTACACTGTCTATCATAGAATCTGTTTCACTGTGTGTCTTTATCTGTTCTCCAGGCTAAGTGGCTGCAATCTGTCGGAAAGAAGTTGTGGAGCTATGTTATCAGTCATCAGCTCACGGTCGACTAATCTAAGAGAACTGGACCTGAGTAACAATGACCTGTGGGATTCTGGAGTGAAGCTGCTGTCTGTGGGATTGGAGAGTCTACACTGTACACTGGAGGCTCTGAGGTTAGGGTTTGGCTTATCTTTAGTGGATGACCAGCAGATGATTTTCTTGATATGTAGCTTTATATACACATTAATTAACTACTTAAGCGGTATTTGATGATGCAGCCATAATAAGCCCTCTTTTATTTGGGTATTTAGATAAATGGCATATAAAATTCATAGCCACATTGATGTCAATCATTGGTTTGTGGTGCAGAATTATGAACCTTTGCGGTTTGCATTTTGGGCATGCCAACAAGGCACATTCATACAATGTATAGATGCAAGGTACAAATACAGATATCCACTAATTATTGCAAATATGTTAAATAATATTTTCATTTTACTACCAAAAAAGTAATGTGCCTTTATTGTCATTGATGTAGAACTTACAATTAAATCAGGAAATTTGCTCCACTATCAGGAGCATTTAAAAAGTCACAATCACACACATTCACACAAGATGACTAAAATATATGTATATAGAAGGGCGTAGATTTGGCATGGACAAAAGGGACATGTCCCACCAATATCCAGACATTATTGAATTGTCCCCACCAATAATTTGATCTCTTCAAGTGAAGAAAAACAAACCCGATGGAGGAAAAAACCGATCTGTCAACGTCTCATTCACCCAGCGGTGCAGAAAGTTCTCTACTGGAGTCCTACGTCATGTGACAATTATGGCAAATGTGATTGGCTATGGCTTTCGGGGAGCTCTGTTTAGTTTTAGCAGCGGCAAGCCTGCGCTGTGAGGACCTGAAAGGAGGAGGATGGCAGCAAGAAGGAAGAACCTGGATATAAGAAAGTATTTTTCAAAGAAACCTGTCAGTCACTTAAAGCCAAGTTAACACATAAAATGTGTCCGTCATAATAACTTTACAGGCTATGCTAGGCTTTGGCCCACATCAGTCTAAATTTGTATGTAACCATGAATAACGTGTTTTGTAAACTACACAACAGGCAGCACTATTAGTTCTCTCAGTCTCAGAGCAGCATTTCTAATTTTGATTGAAACTGTCAGAGAAAACGGCAGCTTTGAGCAGCCAGGATATTAGTTTACAGAGGCTGTTAGAATTATATGTCTAACGTTAAAATGTTGGTGACACAATAATTTCATCCTAATGGCACTGACATATTCATAGGGTTAATTTTTGAGACAAAATGTCATGAGGTAGTCATGATTTTGCAAATATTCCACCTTGTAGTGCAGTTTGCACAAATTGTTTTAAAAATGCACTCAGCTTACAAACATTACTGACGAGTCAAGATCTGCACAAAGTGACAGAAACACTGAAGCAGCTACACATTTTATTCTTATTGTCATGTATGTCCTATTTGTCACGTGACAGAAGAACCAACACAAAGCTCAGAGAGTAATGGTGACACAAGATCCCAGGTGGAATTGGAAGATGACTTGTTGGTTCATTGTTGTATTTGAAGCACATGTGTGACTGCATGTATGTGGAATGTCTCACTGTTATTTATCAGGTGACAGAGGAAGCTCTGCCATGTTGTAGCTCAGAGGTGAAGAGGCGAGGTCACATGTGACTGACTGATGATTTGGTGCTATAGATTAACGAGAGGAGAAGGCATATGTTTGGCTCCTTCACATAGTGGACATTGAGTTTTTGTGTGGGGGCACCAGTAGTCCATGTCTGTTGCTGTAACAGTAGTTCATGTTTAGAATAAACAATCCCAGCTCACTGAACTGATTTGGTCAATAATGTGCCTAAAATGTTGCATAATTTTGCTGACAGATCTTTCACTTTGTGGTAGAGATGGACCGATCCGATATTACGTATCGGTATCGGTCCGATACTGACCTAAATTACTGGATTGGATATCGGAGAAAAATAAAAAATGTAATCCGATCCATTAAATATCACGAAAGCACCTCACAAAACTTGCAACACGCCGTAATTCGCCTCAGAACGTTAGCACGTCGGAGCAGTATGCATCACGTGGTAGAGCGGCTGTGGCATGCGGGACCTGTCGGTGGTCTGGATAGCATGTGGAGCTTTGCTAGCAACCCGGCATTTCATCTCCGACAAAGTTATCCCCGAGAGAAGTAAAGCAAGTGTGTAAGTCCATCTCTGAATGTTTGTAAAGCATTCCCACATTAAGCTTAACGAGCGACTGCCTCTCGCTCTCCGGCTGCTACTTCAATCATGAAACTGCTTAACGATCAGCTGATAGGCTTTTCTGTCGCGGGTCCGTCTCTCTGGTTTGCTTTTGCCCCACTTTGCACCAGAAAGAGGAAACCAGCGGCTGAACAACAGCAGCACGTTTAAGCTTGATAAGCTGTTGTTAGAATTTATTTAATATTACTTTCTACACCAGGATCTTTTTCTACGTAGCTGACGGCTGGTAACTGTGCAGGGGCGGATCTAGCAAAGTTTAGCCAGGGGGGCCGATAGGGCATGAACAGGGAAAAGGGGGCACAAAGACATACTTTTCTTTCTTATTCTCATTTAAAATGTCGAGCTTTTAATAAATAATTATCTGACACCCAAAGTTTTAATTTGATGTAAAATGAATAGAAGTCAATTACTGTATATAGTGACTATTAAGTCTAATATATATACCCTAGTAAGCTATAGTACTTTTTCCTTTGGGAAGGTACCATCTGTGCAGTCTGCAATTTTGTTGAAGAAAGATGTTGAATCTATTTAATATTTCTTGAAAAATAATTGATTTCTGTGCATTTTTTTCACACTGCATCAAATTAAGGTTGATTACGTCTATTAAGCATCATGAGGTGGCGCGTGAGGGGTGGTTCCCTATTTTTTATTTATTTATTTTTGTTGTTGCTGGGAGTTGGAACCCTATTAGTTAGGTTGCTTAATATTTACGCTAAGTACGCTTTAAAATACCAGAATAGGGAGGATGGTGTAGGTCTAAGTTTATTAGATTGATCAGTATTGCTGAACTATGAAATATCTTTTTTGTATACAGATATAACAGAATAGCTTTAGTGTAGTTGTTGTTGTTTTAAACTTGAGTATGAACTTGCAGACTTGCAAAATGCAGCAAGATATTTTAAAAAACAGTTTTGTTTATTAAAAAACACTATATCGGATTCATATCGGTATCGGCAGATATCCAAATTTATGATATCGGTATCGGTATCGGACATAAAAAAGTGGTATCGTGCCATCTCTACTTTGTGGTAATCTTAGATTAGTTTTATGTAGAAAAACCACCAGGTCATTCAGTGTTCCCTTAGTGCTAATGTATAAGAGATGTTGGTGTAACTGAAGTAATGTTGTTAAGTCCTTAAAGTCATATTCTGTTATTGTCATGACTGTATTTGAAGCTATTTTTATGTTTGTATGATACCAGATTTATATGGATTATGGCTTAAGTAAACTAAAGCCTAAAATACTTTAGTCAGTCACTTGTTTAATAGTAATTTAAAATTATATAATTCACATATAAAACTATTAATTGTAATTTTAAATGGTTTAAAAGCATGCAGAATAGCATATGTAGGCAAGTATATTTCTTTCTTTTAATCAAGAAGCAAAGACAAAAAGGAAAAAAATAAGAAATAGGGCATGGTTTGGTGGTTGAATCATCCGTCCCCACTAGGGCTGGGCGATATGACCCAAAATTCATATCTCGATTTCTTATTTTTTTTAGCTGGATGGCGATATAAGATATATATCTCGATTTTTTTTTATTTTATTTTTAAGTTAAGAACAAAAAGAGTTCTTAGTCACACTGTGTCCCAGATGTCACACGGGCACTTTTATTTACATACAGCGTAGATGTACATGAAGAAATTACTCAAAAATAAATTATCAGCATTTATTAAACAATCATGGTCCATAAATAAAAGAAAACAATGTTGTTTTTGTGCATGACAAAAAGCTCACAATTGTCCAGTCAAAATGTAAACTAATAGACGCTGAGCATAATAACAAAGAGACAGATTTCACAGCTGCACCACGTCTCTGAACAGGTGCCATTTGTGGTCCTTATACACATACAGTACGGTAATATTACGTTGAAGCACAGTACGTATCACTCCACGAGGCTCCTCCCCGGTAGCCGTAATCCTCCGACAATCCATCAAGCGGTGCAGCTCCGTAGCTTAGCAAAGTCATATTAAAACATTGTTTGACAGATTGCTGAGCGCTGTGTACCACATAAAATCGGTTCGCGGTCAGTAAGCGCAACCAGAACTCATACATAAGGCTCACTGTCGAGTTTTGAGAAAATGAAAGGTTTTTAGGCCGTGCAGCCCCTCCGGGCTGCATGTCGTTAGCGCGGTTAGCTCGCTAACACGTTGACGCCATCCAGCCCCACGCACGGGGCTATCCGCGGTAACTCGCTAACGGAGATTTTCCGCTTTCATCTTGTCATTGCCTGCAGGTGAAGCTATGGGGGAGGGGGAGTTGTGTTCAGTGAAGGAGAGGCGAGGCCGAGTAACGTTGCGTAGAGACAAAACTGGACGAAAGAGAGGCAAACCTGCGGCTCCACAAGTATAATTATAACGTAACATAGACTATATTGATATAAACGATATTGTCACATCTTATATCTCGTATGAAAATATATCGATATTTTTAAAAAAAACTCGATATATCGCCCAGCCCTAGTCCCCACCAATGCCAAAACCAAATCTACGCCCTTGTGTATATATAACTAACCATATAAAATGAGAACCTGTTAAACAGAATTGTATAAAGTGCACTGTAATGTCAAGGTTGTCAAAAAGGACTTAGTGGGTCAGTGACTGTTGATAGCAACAGGAAGTGTTTACGGCCAAAGTGTGAGGAGCCTTTTATGATATGCCTGGCTCTGGTGAGAATAGAATAGAATAGAAAACTTTATTTGTTAATTTCTTCAAATGTACTTGCCATACAAAGGAATTGAAATTACGTTTCACACTGTCTCATGCGTAGACATTGACAACAATAAAGTGCAGATGCACAACAAAAACAGCCCTAACAATAAGGTAATATTAAATAGGTAACAGGATAGACAAAAAATTAATAAAATAAAGTGTTTCCAACAGTGTTCCCTGGAAAATAGTATACTAGTCTACTTGAGGTAGACCCAGGTTGTGGTTGATAGGGGTATTTTGTTTTAATGCAGCATAAGACTATAGCAGCAGTAATAGTAATATAATAATATAAATAGTGCTAAAAGAAATACTAAAAATATATAGCAGCAGGTGTGTGCAATTGCAATGCAGAGGTAGTTGCTTCCAGTCAGGAATGTTTTCCAGTTCTTGGTTCAGAGAGTGTTTCCTTGTTGGAGAGTGTGCGTGAATGGGGGGTGGGAGGGGTAGAGTCCAGTCTGTCTTCCTATACTTCTGCCAATCTGGTGATTCTGCTGGCTGGGAGCCGGGAGGGAAGAGAGTTCAGCAGTCTCACAGCCTGGTGGATGAAGCTGTTGGTGAGCCTGGTAGTGTGGGAGTGGAGACTTCTGTATCTCTTTCCAGAGGGCAGGAGGCTGAACAGACAGTGTTCATGTGGGTTGCATCGTTGACAATTGTGATGGCTTTGCGGGTGAGGCGAGTGGTGTAACTGTCTTGCAGGGAGGGGAGTGGCACACCAACTATCCTCTCAGCTGTTCTCACAATGCGTTGTAGAGCTTTCCTGTTATAGTCAGTGCAGCTACCGCCCCACACAGTGATGCAGCTGGAGAGGATACTTTCAATAGTTCCTCTGTAGAATGTGGTCAGGATGGGTGGTGAAGCACTTGCCCGCTTGAGTTGGCGCAGGAAGTAGAGGCGCTGTTGTGCTTTCTTGGCCAGTGATGCTGTGTTGGTGGTCCAGGAGAGGTCCTCACTGATGTGCACCCCCAGGATGTCACAGGCTGGGTCTCCAACCCAGCACTCTGAGTTTTCTTTGTATTTTTTGATATGTTATTAGTTTGTGTTATTTCCTATTTGCCTTTAGTTTAGGCAGTTATTGTTCCTGGGTTTTCTATGTTTTGGGGTTTTCTATTTATTTCATCACGTATTAGGTCTGTTAAGTTGTGTTGTCATTTCCTGTTTTATTCTGACAATGTCATGTGTTCTTTGTTCATTGTATTTAGCTTTCCTCTCCTGGTCCTGTCATTAGGTTTATGTCTGTCAGTTGTTTTCCCCCATGTGTCGCCACTTCCCCTGATCACCTCATGTCTGTATTTAAGCCTTTTGTTTTCTTCATGCCATTGTCAGTTCGTCTGTTTATCTCACCAGAGTTACAGTCATAGTCATAGTCTTAGCCTGTTTATTTTCCACCTCAGTCATAGTTATAGTTTTTGGTCTTAGTACCTTTTAGTGTTTTGCCAGCTTAGTGTTTTGTTTCTTAGTGTTTTGCCTGTTTGCTTTGGTCTCTTGGTTCATTTCCTGCCGTCATCGCAATAAAGGTTCACTTTTCTGTTAATCATTACTATTCCTCGTCATCATCTGCTTTTGGGTCCTGTTTCCGCACACATCGGCGCACCCCGACGTGACACAGGAACTTGGTGCTGCTCACCCTCTCCACCGCAGCGCCGTCGATGGTCAATGGGGGGTGACAGGTGTGGCCTCTCTGGAAGTTGACAATAATCTTCTTGGTCTTACTAACATTTAGCAGGAGGTTGTTGTCTCTGCACCACGTGGTCAGGAGCTCAACCTCCCTCCTGTAGTGGATCTCATCGCCCTCAGTGATGAGCCCCACTAGCGTTGTGTCGTCCGCAAACTTCACAAAGTGGTTGGAGCTGTAGGTTGGTGTGCAGTCATGTGTCATCAGGGTGAAGAGCAGAGGACTGAGCACACAGCCTTGTGGAGCCCCCGTGCTCAGGGTGATGCTGTTTGAGACCTTATTGCCCACACGCACCGCTTGAGGCCTCTGGCTGAGGAAATCCAGCAGCCAGTTGCAGAGGGAGGTGCTGAGGCCCAGTCTGTCCAGTTTGCAGATGAGTTGTTGTGGTATTATGGTGTTGAATGCTGAGCTAAAGTCTATGAACAGCATTCTCACATATGAGTCTTTCTTGTCCAGATGAGTTAGGGCAGAGGGCAGAGCAGATTGCATCCTCTGTAGATCGTTTCGCTCTGTATGCGAACTGGTATGGGTCCAGGGTGGGAGGTAGGGTGGATTTGATGTGTGACATGACTAGTCGTTCAAAGCACTTCATAATAATGGGTGTCAGTGCCATGGGGCGGTAGTCATTGAAACAGGCTGGGGATGGTTTCTTTGGCACAGGTATAATGGTGGCAGTCTTGAAGCATGATGGGGCAGTGGCTTGCCTCAGGGAGGTGTTAAAGATGTCTGTGAAGACATTCTTCAGCTCCTCTGCGCAGTCTTTCAGCACACTACCAGGGATGTTATCTGGACCCGCTGCTTTCCGGGCATTGATGGTGATGAGTGTCCTCTTCACGCTGGCAGCAGACGGGCACAGAGGCTGGTCGTGTGGAGGTGGTGATGTTTTCTGTTGGCGTGTGTTGTTCTGTGCTTCAAATCGTGCAAAGAAGCTGTTCAGGTTGTTGAGCAGAGTGGTGTCGCTCTCACAGCTACGCGCTACAGGCTTGTAGTCTGTAATAGCCTGGATGCACTGCCATAGGCTTCTTGCGTCCTTGCTATCATTGAAGTGGGAGGTTATCTTGTGTGTGTAGTCCTGTTTCGCTTTCCTGATGCCACGGTACAGGTTGGCTCTCGCTGTTCTCAGGCCTATTTCATCCCCAGCTCTGAAGGCCTTGTCTCTGGCCTTCAGCAGCCTGTGGACATCTCCTGTTAGCCATGGCTTCCGGTTGGCTCGAGTTGTGATACTTTTCACTTGTGTTACATCATCAATGCATTTGGTGATGTATGAGCTCACCGTATCTGTGTACTCCTCGATGTCTATGATGTTACTGTAGGTGGCTGCTTCCTTGAATATGTCCCAATCAGTTGACCCAAAGCAGTCTTGAAGAGCAGAGGTGGCCTCCTGTGGCCACACTCTTACCTCTTTCATAACAGGTTTGATGACCTTCACTCTCTGTCTGTATGCTGACATTAGCATAACAGTGAGGTGATCAGAGGTGCCGATATGGGGGAGGGGGATGGCTTTGTATGCTCCATTTTCCTGTGTGTAGACCAAGTCCAATATGTTGTCTCCCCTTGTTGGAAAATGAACATGCTGATGAAACTTTGGGAGAGCAGTTTTAAGATCAGCATGATTAAAGTCTCCTGCGAGGATGATGAAACCGTCTGGGTGTGCTGTTTTTTGCTCACTGATGGCCTGATACAGTTCGTTCAGCGCCGCATTTCTATCGCTGTTGTTGCTAGATGGAGGTATATAAGTAGCGACCAACAAGATCGAACTTACCTCCCTGGGCAAATAGAAAGGGATTACGATCATGTACTCCGCCAGTGATGAGCAGTGTTTGCGTACTACAGTGGCATCATGACACCACTCGTCACGGATGTAAACACAGACCCCGCCACCTCGGGTCTTGCCTCCGTCTACGAGAGCCCTGTCGGCTCTGTAGCATGCTAACTGCTCCAGTTGTATGGCCAAGTCCGGAATGTTGTCATTAAGCCATGTCTCAGTGAAAACTAGCACACAACAGTCACTTACTTTGCGATTCACTGATCTCAGAAGTCGTATGTTGTCCATTTTATTGTCCAGAGATCGTACGTTGGCCAAGAGGATCGATGGTATAGCTGGGCGAGTTGGCTTAGCCTCAAGCCTGACTCGGACACCTCCACGCTTGCCCCGCTTCCTTGTCCTAGCACACCGCTTTCGACGCCTCCTTGCCTGGGGAGGGGTAGCAGGCGAGTCCGGTGGGTTGCTAGGCCAGCTAGCAGGCTGTCGCAGAGCAGAAGTCCTATCTCCCTTTGCATCCCTTAGCAGGTAGTGGGATGTGACAATATTCAGTGCTACTTATTTTTTCATTCAACTTTAGTGCCAAATCACAACAATAGTTGACTCAAGGCACTTCATATTGTAAGGTAAAGACTTAACATAATAGATTGAAGATAGGACAAAGACATGCTGTGGAAGAGAGCCAGAGATTAATGATACCGAAAGATTATACACATAGTACGCTGGACCTCAACATGGAAACCAAAACAAACAGAAAAACGGCTAAACTGGAGTACACACAAGCCATAGCACTAACACACATCACCATAAAAAAGGCATGATCACGGACTTTAGATAAACACATTTAAAGTGCTACAAAAAGCACAAATATGTCAGCTGAGTCACAACTAAACAAATGGCTAGCAACAGGGATGTCCTTGATCATTTAAAACTTTAAATCTTAGCTCAGTCTTAGTCCCTTCTCCTGTCCCTTTACACCTGAAACAAAGGGGAAAACTGTTTCTAGAGAGCAATGCTAATTTGTACGATGCTGGAAACATGCCGTTGCTACACTTTTCAACCCTGAAACAAATCACGCAAACAGTGAATCTACACTGTAATAGAAGCATGTTGTATTTACAGTGCTCTCAAATCCAGCTTCCTCAAGTATTATAGATCTGTGGGATTCAATACATCTTCTGGAGACAATGGTTCAGTAAAGAATCCATGTGCCATAGAGTGAATCAGTATCTCTGAAAAAATAAAAGCATATTTTTTTGGAACCAAGCTTAAAGATATATATCAAAATAAAATAAAATTATATACATAATTCTCTTTGCTTTATGTTTTACATCTTTGTGTTTGCCCTCAGGCTCTCGGGCTGTCTGATCACTCAGGATGGTTGTACTTCTCTGGTATTAGCTCTGAACTCCAACCCCTCCCATTTGAGAGAGCTAGACCTGAGCTACAATCATCCAGGTGACTCAGGCATGAAGCTGCTGTCTAGCTTACTAGATGATCCACGCTGGAGACTGAACACTCTTAGGTATGATAGTTTCAGTATTTATTAATGCTGGTCATCAATTAATCACATTGTTACATGTACTATTATATTAGTTTATTACATGTTTATTTTAAAAGTGCTGCTGTATGAGAAGTGTAATATTCAGTTTTAAAGCTTTTAAACAAATAGCGTGCTTTTTAACAGCAGTATTCTCTTAACACAGTAGCAGTTACGATATTTGTTGTGGGTAAATCTCACCTGAAACATTAATCTGATCATCAGTCAATCCGACTTCAGGGAGGAGTATTTATCTGACAAAAATGCTCTAATCTAAACCATCACCAACAAAATAGCAATTCACCTTGTTTGTTAGATGGGTCACATGTTCCCCTGGTTCTTTGTACTTTCCTCACCTCGCCCTGTGGACATTCCTCTCTGCTGTCTCAGAAGATCAGCCCTCCTTTCCAGTGAGATCACCTGAAAAATTCCTGCGTTTTCTTCTGCCAACTCAAACAGCCCCCCTGCCCTCTGAACCACTTGACTCTGAGCCTGTTTGAAATAAAAAGCTGTGAATCTTTTTTCCAATCTCCTGCACTTCAGTCCAGTTTCTTGGTGAACCGGGAAACCTCAGCCTCCCTTCATCATTCCAATTTTTCATTTACTCCGTGCTGTTCTGGTGTCAGTGGAACTACCTGTTAAAGTGTAACATCGGCGTGCTAACACAAGCTCCGGACAGAAAGAAAGCTCCCATAGAGCAGAGGCCAGGAGCTCATTGATCTTGATTTTCCATGATGTTAGAGGATCAGAAACATGTATTGATATTCTGGATGTTTCATATATTTTCATACCACTAACTAGTTTCCATGTTCCTGTCTCAGCGTCTCTGTTGGATCCAGGGTTACCCATGGCTGTTGGTACCACACAGCAGAATTGCAATTTGAAAGTCTTTTAAATGAGTAGAAGCATTTTAAGGCCTTTCATGTCTTTCTTTTATGTCCATGTGTCTCTGTCTCTGCTTTAAAGATGAATTCAGATATGTTTCTTCTTCCAGGCTGGACCACGGTGGAGAGCAGAGGCTGAAACCTGGTCTGAGGAAGTGTGAGTGTGTGATTTATGAAAATAAGACATTACACTAGTTTAAATCACACTAAAGATTCTAGAGGATGAATCACTGTGAAGCTGTCTCCATCAGTCTGTGGAGAAGGCAGCAGATGAAGTCTTGTTGTTTCTTCTTCTCTCCATCAGATTCCTGTGATCTTAAACTGGACACAAACTCAGTGCACAGAAAACTTAAACTGTCCGACAACAACAGAAGAGTGACGGCAGTAACAGAGGAGCAGCCTTATCCTGATCACCCAGAGAGGTTTGAGTACTGGCTTCAGCTGCTGTGTACAAATGGTCTGACTGGTCGCTGTTACTGGGAGGTCGAGTGGAGCGGAGAGGTTCACGTTTCAGTGACTTACAGAGGAGTCGCGGGGAGAGGAGGCAGCAATGACGGCAGGTTTGGAGCAAACAGTCAGTCGTGGAGTTTGAGGTGCTCCGATGCTGATCGGTACTCTGTGTGTCACAATAACAGGAGAACAGACCTCTCCTCCTCCTCCTCCTCTGTCTCTAACAGAGCAGCAGTGTATATGGACTGTCCTGCTGGCACTCTGTCCTTCTACAGAGTCTCCTCTGACACTCTGATCCACCTCCACACCTTCAACACCACATTCACTGAACCTCTTTATCCTGGGTTCTGGTTATTGTCATACGGTTCTTCAGTGTCTCTTTGCTCTCTGTAGCGGGGGAAGCCTCCACAGAACCGCTTCAGCTCAGGGTGGTACTCAAAAATCAGTAAACCTGATGGGTGTGGGTCATTTGACCCAGGACTCTGACTTTCTTTTGTTTTGGTGATTGTTATGTATAATGATTTTAGGTTCATTAGTTAGTCTTGAGGTGATTCTGAGTTCGTTGTTCCCTGTTTACTGCTTTGTGTGTTAGGCTCCCGTGATGTTTTGGTCTCTCCTGTGTTTCCAGTTTGTTGTGTCATCTGTTGTAAGAGCCAATTAAAGGCTGGTTTCTTGGTACTGGTAAAATGAGAAATATACATTTTTATTGTTAAATATATAATTTCAAAATACCGCTATGGTAAAAACATAAGATATGGAAATGTGAAGTTCTGATGTGCTTTTTGGTATATGGTAATTACATGTGGGGAGTCAGATAGGCATAAAGTCTCATTAAAGATCTTTGTTGAAAGGAAAGTTCCATGGTCTTGCTTGTGCTTCCAAAGCTTGTTGCTGGACTGAGTCCTGAAGGCGGTGAAACGGAGACGAAGTGCCGCTGTTACATCTGTGTCTCTCACTTCCTTGTTCCCTGGGTCCCAGTCATGCCTTCGTGTTTGGTCTCCCCTTGTTGCTTACATGTTCCCTCACTCCATGAAACACATGTGTATCAAGTATGTTCTCCCCAGCCCGTCATGTCCCTCTTAACGTGTCTCTCTGTGTCTCTCCTCTCCCATGACTGTTTCCAATCATTCACACTCACACTCACAGCCAATATAGAACCTAGACTGGATTCAAACCTTCTTGCTAAGAGGCAGCAGGGCTAAACTCCTGCATATTTTATTACATCATTTCAAAGATGTGGATTTTAGTGGTCCGCAGAGGTGGGAAGTAACAAAGTGCAAATACTTTCTTACTGTATTTAAGTAGAATTTTCAGGTACCTGAGTAATTCTTTCTCCCTTATTTTAAGCACTTTAAGTGTACTTTCTACTTACATTTTCAAAACAGGCTCCTTACTTTTGCTTTAATACATTTGGGTTGTTTCACGTCACTGCGAGCCTCTAAACATCAAAACGATCTGAGCCTAAACAGGAAAACCCGTTTGCTTATCAATCAGACGATGTCACATAAAATGATCCTGTTGCGTACAGACAAATCAGAACCAATCAGAACCAGCTAGCTCCACATGTCACATGCAGGAGGATAACTTGCAGTGATAATAATAACGATAATGATAAAGTGTAATAAGGTCTTTTTTCCCTATTTGTAAAAGGAGAGAGTATAATTTTTGTTGTTGCTGTATGAAAACAATAAAGATGACTCTATTCTACTCTATTGTGGGCTAACGGTGAGCCAGAAACGAACGCTGGATCACTGGATTATATGTGAGATCAGATATTCACTGCTCACCAGCGTGGAGGCTTTTCACCTGAAGGTCTCCTCCTCTTTCTTCATCAGCTTCTTCCTCTTCTTCTTGCTCAGGTTCTGCCGCTCCATGATCTTATCGTAGTTGAAGTGCTTGTGTTTGGCGTCGGCGCCGTCGTCCCCCATCAGCAGGGCGAAATCAGCCTGGAAACACATGCAGACGGGTTTATATGCCGACAGAATCTGATCCAGGACCAGCCTGGCTGTGACCACTCTGACCTTCTGTTTCAGAGCAGTCAGCTGATCCAGGTGTTGTGCATTGACATTGTTGTGAGGTATTAATAAAGGTCAGAGGTGAACAGCTAAGAGCTGACATCAGTGATGTTTGTCTCTGAACAGGAAGCTGAGGACACACTGGATCTGATGGACGACCTTCATCCTTCACTCTGCTCCTCTTCTTCTTTGTTTCTCCTGAAGCTCCGTTATTTGAGGGATTTTAATTAGTCACTAACCCACGCACAGGATAACTCAGTCCACTGACTCTGAGGGATTACATGTAATGTTACCATGCTCTGGTACTTCCTGCTTCTACTCCCTCATATCTGACACAATATTACCACTCGTGATCTTTGAGGTGTGTTTTGCTACGTGTGAGCTGCTTCAGTGTGATTCTATCTTTTATTTTGTTTCCACTTTATGAAAATGAATCCACCACAGAAGTCCTCTACAGTCTAAATCAGCCCCACCTTTCCTCCACCCCGCATACCTGGAACTCCTGCCCCAGGCACATTCCACCACACGCGTGATCCCCCGGGAACTCCCCTGAAACCGAAAGTAAACCACGTCACAGTGGGCGTGGCGTGACGAAGCACCGCTATGAGAGCTGTCGGTGTTTTGCTGTGCTTTTCTGTGTTTGCGGGAGTCTTCATGGAGGATAAAGAAGCCCCACGGTAAGAAACCCACTCTTATCCTCTTTGTGCGCACGCGCGAAGACCGGCGTAACTAAAAAGTTCAAAGGTGAGAAAGCCGACAGGAAAACGCTCTAGCTAACCGGCCCACGGCAGCACACACAGCCGCCCACAGACTGGCCTGTCCTGACACACAGAGTGGGTACAGACGGGTTACAGACCGCGGTGCAGTGATTTGTGCCGTCCGCAGCTCCCTGTGCGGCCTTCACGCCGCGGATACAGTCAGCTCCCCGTGACACACGCGAAAACCCGAAACACAGACACGTCTCTGAGCCCACGAGACATCCCTGACGGAGGAGGAGCCCTTCATGTGGGGAGGCTTCATTGATGGATGAATGTAGCATGGAGTTAGCAATGCTAGCAGCTTGTGCGGTTTGGCTGTTTCTAATAAAGGTTTTACAAACGGTTGCTGTGGCTTCATTAGTGACGTGAGGCTGTGATGACGCTTACAAGTCCCGGTGAGACAGGTTGTTCGTGTTTGTGGCATGTGTGGGTAAAGCAGGGCGTGACGTCAGGTGATAACAGATGTTTCTGCTGTGAAACCTAAGAAACACGTCCCTGCTCGTGATGATACCAGCGCTGAGGTTGTTATCAGCGTCAGACTATTTAAAGTACACTTTGTTGTGACTTTGTGTCTTTGTGTTGTGAGGTTTGTCCTGGATTCATGATGACCTTTGTGCTTTTAGGTCATTCCAGTGTCTCGATGTTTCCTGTCTCTTTGTCCTCAGCGTCTCCTGTGGAGGTCCGTCCACTCTCTGTCCCCATGTGTCCCCTCTCGCTCTGCGCTTCGTCTCTGTGGTTGTTCACCTTGTCCAGTGTCAGGTTTATATGCCTGAAGTCCCGGTCTCTGTCTCTGAGCTGTGTTTCCTGTTTTATTTTGAAAGTCCCTGGTCCAGTATGTTATGTCACCTTGTTGTGGTGTCTTCCCTGTGTGCTGTGTGCTCTCTGATCCTAGCCACAGTACTTCTTACTTTGTATTCGCTTCCTAAATTCCTCAGTTTGTTAGTTTTGAGTCCAGAGTCCTGGTGTGCTCACAGCCGGCTCAGGACACACCCAGGAGAGGGAACGGGACCCAGCAGCCTATTAAAGCCCCTCTGCTGCACTGGGCTGTCGTAAAGGTATAATGTGTGGTTAATACTGCAGTCTGCTGTTACATGTGTTACCATTTAAAATCTGCTGTATGTAAAGTACTGGCACCCCTCAGCTTCCCAGTAGATGCATCTATCGTACAAATGGCAAAATCCTAAGGTGACCTCTGACCTTGGGATGGTCAGTGATGGTCCCTGATATTCAAACTGATCCAAGATGAAGCTGCACCATGGTATCAGTTTGGAATCCTACGACTGGACCGTCAGTCTTTTATGGCTGATGAGTAAAAAGGGTGCACTAAGACAAAGCTCCTACACTTTTTTCAGCTGGCTTGAGTTGTTTGAAGTCCCATGTCTGTGGGTCAGTTTCAAACATCTGTCAGGGTTTCTCTCCGCCTGGTGCTTTTTAAGGCAGAGAAGCAGCAGCATGAAGGCTCGGTCTTTGTAAGTTCCTGGGTTGTTTTTTTATTTGGCTGTAGTTATTCAGCCGGCCAGACGAACGCTTGACTAGAAACAGCTTTGGTGAACATGGTGAACATGAAGATAAACAGTATTTAAGAGCTTGTGCAATAAAAGAAGAAATAACTGTTTTCCAGCTTAAAACCAGAGTGTGGGTGACGGTTGGTGGATCACTGTTATTCCCAGTTTTTCCTGCTCTGGTTCTTTTGGTTTTGCCTGCTGAGCTCGATCGCTCACTGGTGCTCATCTTTACATTAGTAAAGTGTTTGCAGTCATTCTCTGTCTCACAGGCCTTAAAAGCATCACCGCTCTCACCTGTTTCCTGTTTCTCCTCTCAGTTTTCAAGCATGCCTAGGGCTGGAGGTGTATGAGGGGGCGGAGTCTGTCATGCTGCCCTGTCAGGTACCAGAGGACGTTTACCGGGACGCCACAGCAGTGGTTTGGGGCCGCAAGGACCTCAGCAGCCCGACAGTCCATCTGCGTCTGCAGAGCGGGGACGATCTCACGAAACAGAACGTTATTTACTTCAACCGAACATCGATGAGAGCCGACGCTCTGCAGACCGGAGACCTCAGCCTCACTCTGAGGAAGCCCGTAGTCAATGACACCGGCACCTACACCTGCACCACCCGAAGATATGGACAAGATCAGAGCAAGACCCATTTGCAACTGAGGGTGGCAGGTCAGTGCTGTCGATAAAGGTCAGAGGTCAGTCATACTCTGAGAATGTGCTGGGTGATCTTCAGGTTGTTTGTGTTTGTGTGGACAGAACGTCCTCCTCCTGGTCCCACTCCTCCTCCAGTCTGGCCCAAAGTTCTCTCGGGTGTCCTGGTTCCTGTGGTTCTCCTGGCTGTCGGCTTTGGGGTCTTCATGTACTTTAGATATAAAAGGTTAAAGAACAAAGAAGGTATGTGCGTTATCAGAGCGCTCCACGGACATCAGTCAGTGTTTATGATGACATACAGCATTTACCACATGAGCATGGAGCTCATGTGCTGCTTCGTTCTCTTCTCAGTCGTTCAGGTCACAGCAGAACCAGGTGATGAGTCGGTCGTGCTGACCTGCAGAAGCACCGTTCAGCCCGATGGTGCTAAAGTGGTGTGGAAGGACAGGAATGAGAGGAAGGTGCACGTATGTCAGAAAGACTCTGAGCAGCCTGAAAAACAGCACAGACGCTACAGAAACCGAACAGAGATGAAGAAAGAGCCGCTGAGGACCGGAGACCTCAGCGTGACCCTGAAACACCCCACAAACACCGACAGGGACACCTACACCTGCACCGTCTACAGCAGGGAGGGGAAAGAACTGATGGAGAAACAGGTGGAGCTGAAAATCAAAGGTCAGTGCTGCAGATACAGAGGCTTGGATATTGTTATTGACAGCTATTTTGTCACAGTGCGTGTCTTTGTCTGTCACACACCTGCTGTGCAGCAGCTCTGTTATTCTGACGAACACAGAGGCCATCTTTGTAGTTCCTGTCAGACTTCATTAGGTCTTCCTGTTTGCTCACTGTTAGAAATATGAGCAGCAGTGGACTTTGATGGGATGTTACGGTGCAGGCTTGAACAGCTGCTGAACAGATGTGAGTTCAGGGGAGCGTTGTCGTGTTCTCAGAGGAACAGCAGTGAGTCTTTGAGGAACACGATGCTGCTTTCTGTCATTTGTCTGATGAGTTCTATCAGCGATGGAAACCAGAGTCTGCTACTGATATGAGAGGAAAGCAGGAACAGCTGATACTGGACGCTCCTGCCTTCATGTGGTACAAAGCAGGACTGCACTCTACTCTGAATCTTAAACATGTGTAGTGTTCACTGTGAAAGCAATTAGAAACAAATCAGTACATAAATAATGACGGTGAGTTATATAAAGGCCAAGTGAGGCACCAGGACTCTAATCGGATAGATTTAAAAACAACTGGATAACAATATCATTTCTATTCGTCAGGATTCTTCATTGTTTAGAGTGAAAGACGTAATCACACTTCCTTTTCAGCATGTTGGTGCTGCGTTTCTGCTGATGTCCAAATCTTTATGAAGTTATAAAATCAACCCTGTTTATAGAACAGTTCAGTGCGTTTGTGTGAAGAAGAACGATAAAGCTTGTAGCAAACCTGGTGTTGGACAGACCTCTTCAATGAGTGTGTAGATGAACTGCAAACATGGCTTCTTAGTAACAGTGTAACTGCGTTTCATTGATCAGACATCTTCAGGCCCTCATCTTCAAATGACTGACTGGGACCAGCATCGAGATGAAGCTGGTGACTTAGTGGTGTTGCTGCTGATGTGATGCTTCTGTGGCTTCATGATGAACACGTGTTTCAAATGCTGCATAAATTAAAATTAATTGACAAACATGAATGCCGTGTCTTCGTACAGCTCATGTTGTGTTGTTCTCCTCTCAGAGTGCCAGGTGGAGGTGGTGGAGGGGGCGGAGTCTGTCCTGCTGCCCTTCAAAACCACAGAAAACCTGCCTGGAGACAGCGATGTGGAGTGGAAACGCCATGAACCCGAATACATGAAGGTCTGTGTGTATGAGAACGGCTCTGACCGGCCCGACAAACAGGACGACCATTACAGAGGTCGCACTGAGATGAACACTGACCTGCTGACCACCGGAGACCTCGGTCTGACCCTGAGACAGCCCACAGTGAAGGATGCTGGGAGATACGCCTGTGAGGTCAACAGCAAGGAGGCCTGGAGATACAAGAGGGTGTGGCTCACAGTCAAAGGTGAGTTGTAATCGGTGTGAATGTGTCTAACGTACTGTCCTATCTTTACATCAGTTCTGTCTGTTTGTCAGTTAACTTTAAAAAAGCATTTCAAGTCATAAGAAAGGGCATGGAGAGAGCTGTGCAACACCTTTTGTTTTCATGCCCTACGACGTCACAATGATGCTACATAGTTTCACTAAGTCAGACACACACAGCTTATAGAAGCCAAAGATTTCAGTACACCGTTTTAGTCTGCAATGCTTCAGGGTCAAAGGTCAGCATGTAGCAATTAAAACATCAAAGTGTTAGTTTAGCTCCGAGTGTTTGTTTGTGACTTCTTGTGTTTCGTCTGCAGGGACAGATCAGGTCCAGGATCCAGCCGAGGACAACAAGGCTATTGAAATGATTCCTCTGATGGACCAGCAACCAGCTTAATCTGACTGGGCTCTGATCATGGATCTGACTGGTCTGTGAGTCAGAGAGAAAACACCAGTAATGGGCTGAAGGGGATGAAGAGGGAACGATGCTGAGTTCCTCCACGTTCTGTGAGGAGGTTTTCGGTAGCTCGGCGCACTCATTTGTTACCACATTAGCACAAACAACACTCATTTTTTACTTACACATTTATATTTTACTTACCCATAATGCCTTGCTGTTCAGGTCTCAGCTGTGACCTGGGTGCTGTTTAGTTGATGTTTGGACCTCATGTCTGCACGGTCTCAGAGCTCCTACATGCGTGAGGCTTTAGTGTTGGCTGTGTCTGTGAAACTGCACAAAATACAAGACAACTAACACTTTAACATACATGTAGCTAACGAAGTGTACGACGAAAAAGAACAAAATGTTTCTGTAAAATGCTGCTGAAGAGAAAAGAAATAAAGTCCATCATCTGTCTCTGTCTGATGTATGGACATTTGTTATTCTTTACACAGTTAATCACTTTGGTTCACTCCTCACAACACCTCAAAGTGTGGAGGAAGCAGTGGCTCAGATAACCAGTCGTTACAACCAAGGTGTGGAGTTCATGTTCAGACAGTCTGAAGACACGTGTGTCAGGTTACCTGTGGATTCAGAATATGCTGTGGGTGTGGATGTTGAGCTCACACTGGCTGATAATGTCTAACCTTCTGAGACTGCTGGCTAACAGCTAACGCTGCATGAACTCCTGCACGGCGCTGCTGACCGTGTCCATCCCATAATGACCTCAGTGTACCATCCTGTGATGTGTCCAGCAGGAAAACAAAGCTCAGATCAGGCATAACGATGAGTTCACTGCACACAGACGCCTCCACAGTCACAGATCTCAGTGCAGCAGAGCATCTTTGGTAGAGTGACATCATAGCCTGTGTGTGATGACATCACATTAGCATGGACCCAAACCTCTGAGGATGTTTCCAGGACTGTGATGAGTCCGTGTCATTAACAAGCAAGGGACCAGGGTGCCGGCACGGTGTACCTAATAAAGTGGCCATCGAGAATGCCTCTGCGCGACGTCTCCATCTCAAGTGTCTCCAGCAGGGGGAGCCGTCTGATCCTTTATTGTCACAGAGACATGTCACTGCACACACTCATGGCCACTTTATTAGGCACACCTGTTCCGATGCACGGCAGCCGCTCTGTGCTTGTGTACCTAATAAAGTGGCCCTGTGTGTGAACCCACAGTCACAGGAGACGAGTGTCTGATATGTTTGGTTTTACAGACGAGAGAGAACACAGAGGGAGAATCTGTGAAGTCAACATCGAGGCCCCACTGAGATGAAAGAAGAGCCACTGACAACCACAGACCTCAGTCTGACCACAGTGGTGTCTACATCCTTAGACACAGAGAGAGAAAACTGATTTTGTAAACAGAGGTCAGTAAACACATCACAGAGGTCATTGAGAAGCAGTGCATGATGGGAAGATGAGTGACACAAACTAGAAGCGCTCTGTCACAATCTGTTGAGAAATCGTCTAAGCCTGGTCGGCAACCTGCGGTCTTTAGTCCTCAGTGCGGCTCCGCGTGGTTTGGGAAAATAAATGAGAAGTATTTAGCTGAAGTGTTTGTGTGTATATATGTTTATGTTAGCTCCTTTTTAACTTGCAGTTCTAAATTGGAAGATTATTGTGATTTTTGAAATATAAAAATAAAATTATATTCTATTAACTTTTCATCGCTCAAAATAAGCGTCACACTCGCGGAAGCCGGTCTAGCCGCCGAAGCGCCTGCATTTATCGAGACTTTCAACCCCAGGTAGGCCAGTTATGGCTCTTCAGATCCACATTATGTCAGCAGCTCCACCGTGAACTATGTTCAAACAAACAGCGCTCACGCCTCACAGACGACAGCTTACAGTCCTGCGTAAAGATGAACGTGCCTTCGTACAGACGCTGTGCGCAGAGGTTCAGGAGCAGAAGTCCCGTTGTAAACATATCACGGCAGACCCGACGATGTTTGCATGAACGCGCTTTTCAGCATCTCTTTATTGACCACTTTTCACACACGGTTGCTGTGCGCACACAGCCGGTGTTAAAGCTCACAGACCGACACAACAGCAGAGACGTTAAGGCGGCGAGGCGTGATTGCAGGTGCCGCTCAGGTGCGTCCACCTCCCCTGCAGCGCTGCAGACCACGCCCCGCCACACACATTAACCAGGTAAATACATATTTAGGCAGAATTTTGCACCTCAGGCCCTCCAAGGTTTGGAGGCCTATCTCCACCCACCACCACTTCCCCTGCCGGTGGCGGACTCCCTCAGGTGTCGGTGTGTTGGTGGTTCTTTGTGTCTGGGGGTGGGCGTCCGGGTACACACCGGCTCACTCCTTGGCGGCCGCTTGTCGGGGCCTGGGGCCTGGGGCTCGCTCGGGCCCCTTTGGAGGTGGGGTGCCCCCGGCCTCTCGGCCTAGGGCTCGGTCACTCAGGCGCAGCTGGGGCCGGCGGAGCTCACGGGCGCGTCACTGCAACCCCCCCTGGCTTCTGCTCCGCGGCTGCTGAGTGAGCCCTCATCTGGGACTCTCCTCAGCTCTTACTGGAACAGTGGCGCGGCTGCCCCTCTGTTGGTCTTCCATGGTCTCTTGTGTTCTGGGGTCCTCTGGATGTCTGGAGTTTTGATCTCCTCCATACCCGCTTCACACCCTGGAGGACGGGGCTGTGGCCCCCCACACTCCCTAGCAGATCATTACATGGAGAAACCTTTGGAATGCAAGCATGCTGATCCACACAGGTATGCACACATGGGTATTCACAGACGCGGACTAAAGCTTTCTTGGCTGCTGCCTCAAAGCACACTGTGCGCTGTCTATCTTGCGTGCTGCACAATATCGTTTATTACTTAGTAAATACTGATATCTATGACTAGCTAGTTTATTGTGATGGTGCTTTGTTTTCTCTATTATTATGTTGCTCTTTGTTGTTTGCTGTCTCCTCTGTTTGTTTGTTTTTTCTCCATACAGGTGACCCAGGAGTGTTTTTTTTTTTTTTTTTTTTGTCTCTCTTCCCCCCCCTTCTCACCGTCTCTTCTCCCCTTGGGTTTTCTTTCTTTCTCTCCCCCTCTCTCTCTCATTCATTCCCCTGTCCTATTTATTAAAAAAAAAAAGAAAAAAAAAAAAAAAAAAAAAAATGACAAAGGATGAACTGAAGCTCTGCCATCACGTAATGTCGCATACTGCTGTTTCTGATGTCATTTAAAAAAAAAAAAAAAAAAAAGAATTTTGCAAAAATCTATTTTTTTTTTTTCAGCAGCATACAGCTTTTTTCCCAATATTTTTTTTAAAAGTCAGGTCAAGGCTCCAAAAGCCCAAAGGCGATATAAGGGTGGCTCACAGCAGTTTTTAGTTCAGCTTTCCTTTAATTACATAAATAAAATGTAATTTTCTCTGTAGCACTTCATGGATTTCATAAGCAACACACACAAAGCATAAAGGTAAATAACAAAGTGTTATCTTCATGTTAGATGTCAGAAAGTATTTGTCTTTGTCGTTGCGTGGAAACCAGGTCCACGTGGCTCTTTGGGTCTTAAAGATTGCTGATCTCAGCTTTCGTTCCCCGTCCGACAGCACGCATTTACTCTGACACTGAAAGTGAAACTGGGCAGATGTCAGACTGATACCACACATTTCTTTAAAAGCTGGTGTTTTCTGTATTAACCGCTGTGGTCATGTGGTTCAGCGTGGTCACTTCCGTTCAGTTCAATTTTATTTATATAGCGCCAAATCACAACAACCGGTTGGGGCGAGAGAGGGAAGACAGGATAAAGACATGCTGTGGAAGAGAGACAGAGATTAATCAGTATGATTCATTGCAGGTAGAGTCGTGGTCTCTGAGCTGAGACAGTCTCCGGTTTGTCTCCTCTGCTCAAAGCTGCAAACTCCTCAGAGCAGCTCTGAAGCTTCAGAGAGAAGAAGCTCCCTAAGAACCCCTAAGGTGGTGTGAAACATTCACAGCTGGAGGTTTTTAGTGACTCTTTCATGACATTAACACATGTGAGGTTAACTATAAATCTCAGGAGTGTCTATCAAACTCCTGAGATGTGTTTGCTCCTGTTCACGGCTGTCGCTGACTCTGAGCCTCTGTAATAAACCTCCAAGGTCTCCATGTGTAAAGAAGTCTTCGTGCTGCAGTGAATCTGACCCTTAATGTTCTTCTTTAAGCTTCAAACACGTGTAATGAAGAAAGCTTGTTTATATGAGCTCCATAAAAACATCAGAGCAGGTTGAGGTGGCGTCCATCTCTGAACACTGTAGTTTGAGCATTCATCATCAATGAAAGCTGTTCCTTTGTAATTGTCACGGTCCCCGTGTCTCTCTGGTTGGCCCACGCTGGCTACAGGTTTTGTTGTTGTTAGTTTTAGTTTTTTGTCTCTCCTCCTCCTCTCTGCCTGGGTGGAGCTCATTACGGGCTCTCACTCTTGGCCCATGCACCCCTGTGGATGGTGTCCACCTGCGGCTGATCTGGCTGATTTCCCCAGCTGCTATTTAAGGCAGTGGCACAGAGCAGCTCACCACTGGAACGTCGAACCACCTGAGTTCGTGCTCGCGGCATATTCAAAGAAGAATCGCTTACACGTGTTTTATGTTGTGGAACTAACCTTTGACCTTCTGTCTGTAGATTCTGGACCGAATCACCGGATCTGTCCAAGTGGGGCAGTGTGTGGAGTGTTGGAGCGAGTGCGGCTGAAGAGGAGTGCGTGTGTGCGGAGGAGCGGTGGCGGTGACTGAGTGGAAGAGGAAGCGTGTGTGTGGATCCCCCCCCCCTTCTCTCCCTGGAGCCCTGGACCCCCTCCCAACTCACTGTACATATATTTTGCACTAAGGTGATCCCTATTGTAAATAAATCCCCTTTTTGTTTCCTTGAAAGAACTGTCTGCGCGTGGGTCCGTTCAGTAGCCATGACAGTAATCCTCCAAACCAGCTTTCCATGACCTCGATGAGATCATCAAGGTCATGGAAAGGTGGGATAGGCTGTTGTAGTTTTATAACTGTGATGTGTGTGTGGTTGTAATTACATACAGATCCATGCTGTAGTTTAAACTGGTCCTTATACCTGAATTTATTGTGTACCCACAAAGGAGACTCATTAAGCTAATTAATGATGTAGGGCTGACTCGTGCGCAGCTGTTTTACATAGGTTAACTTTTCTTTATTGTGCATTTATTCCCGGTCTCAGTGCACATTTATTTAGAGCTGTGAGTACACCTCACTCACCGCTCACACTGAAAACACGCTCTCCTCTTTCTGCACATTCACAGTTGCAGCTCATGTTTGTACTGCAGGTTATCAGACATGACCATTAATGCTGAAGCAAAGAAGAAGTAACATTGACCGATAGTGAAACTGAGACACTGACCAGAGAAGTGGATAAGAGGAAACAAGCTTTATTTACTGATCTCAGTTCAGGATTCTGCTCAGACGAGACACAAAAACACAAATCAACTGTTAAAAACCACAGACGTTTGTTTACAAAGTTTATAAGTAGTACTCTGTGTTTTATAAATGTGTATAAATACAGCTCAGTGCATGTCTTATCAATCTTCTATATACCATTGCTGCTCCTTAGTTTACCTTTATAAACACAGATGTGTTGTTATGACTGTGATCATGATTATCAGCAGCAGTAACAGCTGATATCAGCAACTCTAACAGTAACATGTCTGTATTTATGAGTGACTCAGCAAGGAAGCGAATACTCACTAATGTTTAATGGTGTAACTTTATTATAAAGTGCTGCACGTGGTTTATCTGTGAGCTCTCCGAGTCAGGTGCGTCTAAAAAGCATGAAGCAAACATTTAGAAAAAGATGCAACGAAAATGTAGGTTTTTTTAATTATTTGTTTAAATAATTAATGAAAATGTGTTCAAATGTGTTAAACTGAATGTTTGTCAATCCAGTAAATGTTTCCTTTAAATGGAGCATTTTATAAAATTACATAGAAAACTAAAGTTTCTGGGTCATTGTGGGCGGCGATGGTTTAAAATTAGTGTCAGACTGAAGCTCTGCTGGGTTTTCACCGTAGTAACAGTGAACAGAGTGAACTGCAGGAGTGTAAGAGACTCGGGCTGGAAACATGATAAAGTGTGAGAATGTAAGAAGATCAAAATGATGCTCAAAGAGAATAACAACATCATAACTGTATCGTAACTGAGCTTTGAAGAGTTATACTTGTTTGCGCTTGTCTCTGAGTCGGTTAGGTTACAGTTCACCCTCCGGTCTGTGGGCAGTTTCACGCATAATAGGAGTTAAAAACCATGACGAAGTTAAAAAAGTGTTAAATAACAGATTGTGTTATTCAGCTGATATGTGTCCACTAATAAAAGCAGGCTAACTCTAATATTAGGGTACTCGTCTGGGGCGCATTTAGGAATTTAGAAAATGCATGAAGACAAAACCGTGACTCATAATTACATCAAAGCTCAACTAAACTAAAGCCTCCTCTGAATAATTCTGTAGAAAAAAAACTCAACAAAAGTCTAGGATTATTTTAATATATCATTTTATTTTTTTCCAATATTGTTTCAGTTGTTTTAGTTTAGCTAATTTTACATCATGTGATGAGAATACTTTCTTCACAGCTGGTTTTAGTCTTGAGTTTTAGTTTCCACCCTGTGGCTGTGTGACTCCCGAGAACATGACATGACAACACCACAGGAAGCTTCCCCATCAGCTGAGCTGTAACATCCTCCAGCTGTTATATGGCTGGCGGATGTAGACAGTACAGAGAAAATAGTTCCAACATTAAACTGTTACAAGGTGTAAAGTTAAACATATACAGATTGAAACGTTATGTTATTAGTAAAAGTGGGAAACCCTCTCTGGGCTTCACTGTTACAGCAGTTTAACCTCCAACATCAGACGTTCATCTGTGAGCCGATACACAAAAGCTGGGATTCAAAGAGTCAGCAGGAGAGCGAGCGGAGAGCAGGGAGAAAACCCTGGACCCTGAACAAAGGCGTGTCCACAGTCCGTGACATGTTTCAGTAACAAATCTTTCAGGAAGTGACTTTGAGGAGCGGGAAGAAACCAGTATCACATGTGCAGTCTGAGAAATGAGAAGCTGGAGCTTCCCACATGATGGACGCTTCCCTCTGCTCTGTGTGATGAAACGTCAGCGGAGTCAGAGCAGCAGACTCATTCAGAGTATTCAGAGTCCTCGAAGAGCGCGCACTCAGCCGTGAGGTCAACCACCGCCTCGTAGTTTTCTTCAATGCACTGGGTCATCTCCACGGAGACGGGAAGTCTGTTTGCTGTGGGCAAAGCATCGGGGTGAATGTTAGTCTCCACACATATACATACAGTCCTCAGTGAGACATGCTGCACCGCGGGCACCATCGTATGTCCAAGTTGGCCCACAGCAGGCCCACAGTGGGCAGCTGTGGGTGAACTGTAGGGCTGTGACTCATTACCGATGATACAGGACAATGGGTTTTAGTCTTTTAGTCTTGTCTCCATCATGTCTTCCAGCTTTGGGGTCTCCAACTCCAGTCCTCAGAGCTACCGTCCTGCAGCTTTTAGATGCATCCTTGTTCCGACACACCTGAATCAAATGAATGGCTTGTTACCAGGCCTTTCCCTAACTCGATGAAAAGCTGAAGAGGTAATTCAACCATTTGATTCAGCCGTTTCTCTGCATTAAAACAGTAGCTCTCAAAGACTGGAGTTGTAGATCTCTGCTTTAAACCGTGCAGCTCTGGAGGTCTGTGCAGCTACAGATCAGGCGTGTACACCTTTTACTGCACAAGGTCACAGTTGAATCGATCACAATCAGGTTCCAACTTCTTAAAATAGTTTCAGACACTAGAAGCTGTTACCTTTGGTTCTTGTCTGCTGTTATTTGGGTGTATAAAGGTTAGCATGTGAGCCTGACCCTGGTTAAGAGCGGTGAAATATCAGATTAAAGCTATGGTTTGGCTTAAGCAGTCCGGTTACTGTAATAATTAAAAAGGCAGTGCAGACGTTTGTGATTTTACAGTCAGAGCTGCCAGCAGGACAGCAGCAGTGATGCACCTGTGTGCAGGTATCTACCTGAGCGCCTGGTGGCCAGCCGGTCCAAGCAGATGGACAGCAGCAGGCCGGTGGTGATGGAGTAAATACAAAAGGCCAGCAGGTGGGAGAGGAGTCTCAACACAGGCACACAAGAAGAAGGAGCAGGAGGACGAGGTGAGGAACAGTTGGTGGGAGGAGGAGGAGGGGGAAGAGAGGGGAAGGGGGACATGGTTTCACGAGAATGGACAGATGATCTGACGGAGGTCGTCGGGGGATCTGCAGGAGAGATAAGGAGGTGTCCTCAGTTCATTCACTCAGGGTTCGATAGAAAGGCTCAATGGGAGCGGTGCAGCGAGGCTACACCACAAACACAGGCTTTCATCTCCATCTATTAGTAATAGATGCTGAAGAGGAGCGTGCTAGTTATTGCATCATTATTGATCGTGATTATAACCACAGTCAAATCTCAGAGTGATGAATTCTCTGTCTTTGCTCCACGTGCTCTCCATCGAGGTCAAGGACATTAGAAAAACACAAAAGAGGCCCAATTTATGATGACAGCAAAAGATGTCAGTGTTCTGACCTCTGACCCTCAGGTAGCTATGAGCAGATGATCCACTCAGATCAGTAGCACACCAGTAGAAACCCTCATTAGACTGCTGCACGTTGGAGATGGTGTGCTCTTTATTTCTAGGTCCAAGAAGACGTCCACTGTAGAAGAAGTAAGCTGCCACTGTTTCACCAGTGCTGAGCCTGCAATGCAGAGTGAGATTACTTCCTTTTGTCACAGGAAGTGCCGGGATCTCCAGGATCACTCCTTTTTCTGGGTAAGAGAGACAAAAGTACACACATGTAGACTGGAAGCTTCTGGAGACAGCATGCAGGAGGTCAAATGATGACGCCATAGGACTGAGTTCATGACCGTTCATCATCACAGACTATAAATGATGGTGTGGCCACTGCAGTCTGACCCTCTGCTTTTATAATGATCACTCAGAGGCATTTTCTTCTTGCTATGATGGAGAAGAACAGATAGCTAGCGTAGCTGTCAAGCTGCTTCCATAGACCATACTGATGTTTGCTAATCAGTGCTACATATCGTCCAAATTAAAACTGGCATTTCACTGAAGTGCAGCACAAACTTCTGAGGTATTCTGTTATTACAATTAACTAACCAGCAGCCATCCTATTGGTCCAAAAGCATAAACACGGTCCAGAGGTAACTTTGCTAGTAACCACAGCTGCCTGTCAAAGCCCCGTCACTGAAAGAGGCCACGCCCCCACCGATGACACTTTAATACGGTTTAAACAGGTGAGTAACAAAAACATTCTCTCCCAGTATTTTGCCCTTTTATTGTTATAAAGGGCAAAATTAGATTCACTTATTTATTTATTAGATATTTTAACATGAGAGCCTGTGAGGGCTAACGCCCTGCTGGAGCCTCTGGTGGACATTACAGGAACTACAGGAACTTTCAGCCCCGCAGGTCGATGGCTGTTCTGTACCACAGTGCAGCAGATTTAACACCATCTAGTTTAGTGTAGCAGTGAGTTCTAAGTACTTAAGTGTCTCCTAATTACAAGTATTTTAAGTATATCAATGTTTTCTAGCCTAAAAAATCCAAAACAATATGAACAAAAATCTGAGACATTAATTGAAACATATATTAAAACAATATGAAAGTACAATTCAGACAACGTGTCATTTGAAGTATAAACTGGATTCTTACGGCTCATCTCCACATTGTTGATCTATGGATCAAGCTGTTATTCACACATTCAAGGTGCTTTGTGCTAAATGCACCTGCACCTGCATATATATAAAAATAAATATATGGTTGTACTTCACCTGTCACAGGTGGTCCTGATGCTGTAATGCCCTTAAATGTTCAGAGCAACTGTGGAAAAAAAGAAGAAAAGAAACAACTTACTTTACCTGAAACACTGATGGTGACGTCATCACTCTTCTGCCCAGAAGTGGTTTCACACCAGTAAATCGCTGTGAAGGTTGTTTTAAAGTCCTGAACACACAAGGACTCATCAAGTCTAGTGAAGTCTGCTGCTGCTCCACACTCATCAGTCTGGTTTCCTCTGGTCCTCCTCACCGTCCATCCATCATCACAGCTCAGAGACACTGGAGAGGATCCGCTGAAGACCTGCTGAAGGTTTGGACTGACAGACAGAGACACTGGAGGACACATGAGTAAGTGTATTTGTGTTCTTGTTGGAGTCTCACTGATCGTTTTCACATCATCTCCTCACCTGCAGAAACAGTCGGTGCAGACAGCAGCAGCACACACACACCTGCAACAGGAGGAAAATCCACAGACTTGAGCTTTTTCTCACGTCCTCAGAGGTGCACACTAACAGACTGTGGCAGACGTCCACAGATCAGGAAGAAGACTGGACCATCCGGGACAAAAGACCGATATTTTCTTGGTCACCACATTCCTCACTATAAAGCACCTGAAGTACTGCTGAATCATCACAGCCTAATTGTTTTCAGCTTTTAGATCATTGTGTAAGTTTCCTCATACGGGACAAAATATAAAAACTTTAAAGGTTTCAAAAACCTTCCAGACTCCCAGTTGCTGGTTTTCTTTCCTCATTTGTAATATTTATTGCGTCCTTTGTTGTTTGTGTCTATATTAAGAATAAACATTTAAAAAACAAGCACATCTTTTACAGAGACCCTGACTCTAAACTACAGACCCTGCTGAACATTAAACATTTCTGATTGGATTATTTTCTGGATTTACACAGAACAGAAAGGAGCAGACTTCCTGTTTTCTCCCCCGACAACACGGAGTAAACTCTCAGGATTCATCCAGTGTCCGTCCTTTACCTGGAGCTGGACTCACTCTGTGGTAGCTGGACTCACTGAGTGGGTGAGTGGGTGTAGGATTGCTGTGTGTGACTCACCGGGGAGCAGAGCCACAGGTGCAGTCTTCATGGTGTCTGGATGAGCATCGAGGGTCAGTGTGAGCTGCAGACTTTCACTTCAGCTCTTTCACAGCCGCCTGTTACCACATTAAAGACGGAAGCCTCAGTATAAGGAGGGGAAACAGGAGCAAAGGTCTGAGCTCTCAGCCAATCACGTTCAAGCACGGCCTTCTTAAAACTGACCTGCAAACGCTGCAGTTTAGAAATCCTTCGCGAGCTGTGTGAGTCTATCAGAGGTCCTTCAGTCAGTCTGAAGAAAACACAACAGCTGAGATTGTTAGTCTATAAACAAACTGCACCACAGTCACACGACGGCAGCGTCGCCACCTCTGAGCTAATGAGTTCCTGCAGCACAGAAGCTCCTCACCCGCTCACATCACCTGCCTGTGAGTTCAGAGGCTTCTGTTTGGATGCACACACAGAGCTGCAGACCACGTCTGACCAGCAGTGACTGGTTTGAATCTGACCTCCAGCTCTTCTACTGGACCTCTAAAGTGGGTCTCGTGTCCAGACACGAGTGTTTTTAACTCTCAGTGGATATGTGAAATGCGCCAGAGTGAACTGGATGAAAATAAGAAGTAAAACAAGTCCACAGTGAGTCAGTGTGGGTGCGCTGTGGGCAGGACAAACCCACAGTTAGTCCACGTGATCCCACCTACACTTTACTAAACCTATAGGCCTTTATGTGTGAAACTGCAGGGGCCCTGTGGGTGATAACTGTGGGTTTGTCCTGCCCACAGCTCACCCACACTGACTCACTGTGGGCTCAGGAGGACACGTTAGCCGGGGCATTATTATTTATTATAAAATAAAAGATGAAGCCAGAGAAGATGTTTTATTACACGCTCAGAAAATCGATGAAAGAAAGAAAGAAAGAAAGAAGGTCAGGAGAGGAAGAAGAAAGCTTGGATTTAAAGGGGAGGATGCTCATTTAAAGCTTTGATGTAAGTCCTCGTGTTTAAATCAAATGTTATGTTTGTTCACACTGTGAAACCTGCTGCTAAACAAACTGAGGCAGACTGACTGTGTTGTTTAAAGTCGTCTGCAGGTTAGTTTGCTGCACTGTGATTGGTTTAAAGCTTCCTCCACCACTTCAACCTCTTTTCTGCCCACTTCCTGTTTCGAGGCAAAGTCAGCCTCTTCAATGTAAGAAACAGGACAGATATATTTTTACATTTTCCTTCTCTGCTTGTGTTTAACTTACCTGAGTAAAGCTGAGAATCTTTATTGGAAATATAATTTAGACTGAAACGAAGTTTGTAATTCCATCTACTGATGTTATTATATTAATATGACACGAGGTTCAGTTGAACAGTAGTATCTGTACTTCTGCTTAATTTCCTCTGTTATTGAGCCTGTCGCTAGTTAGCTAACATAAACTATGTAAGCTATTCAACCAACCACATTATGTCATGCTCCGTACTGACACAAGATGGCGCTACACGTTTTTAAAACTTTAAGCTCTTATTTGTTAAATCCAGCTTCACAGTCACATCAGTTTTTGAGAGCAGGGCTCAGTGATGGAAATGAGCCTTTACACATTTAAGAGTGTTGTTTCCACTTTAATGGGATCCTACAACTTTAAGTGGAGTGGACACAGCTCAGAGTACGAGAGCTGATGAAGCTCACGTTCACTTCACCATCGGCCTGTACAAATAACTGTCGACGTCTCAGTCTTCCATCAAATGCCAACGCTCAGCATCATCTACAGCAGCAGCTGATTCTCAGACTGAACAGGCTTCATTTCTGTCTCTTTCTCCCACCTAGTGGTCATTCAGTGGTACTACAGATGATACGTCCCTTATAGAAACACGAGGCCTGACTCAGTGTGGCGTCATAAGTCGCTCACAGCCAGTTCAGCTCTTTTAGTTTTGTGTTTTTGCAGTTTCAGTTTGTTAACAATCACAGAGACACTCAGTGGACACAGGAAGTGTTGACTTAAAGTTTTGGACAGTTTTCATGTTGCACATAAAGACTTAGACCTCACAGCGATGGGTTATTAGAAGTGTGCGTGTTCTGTTTTTGAAAGCTGCAGATCATCACTCCAAAATTCTTCATCCCCTTAAAGTCCTGCTGCTGCTGCTGGGAGGCAAGTCCATCTGGCAGTTTACAGTTTTCATGCAGGTCACATTGAATGGTTTTATTTTGAAACACCTTGATGGTCTCCTCCATCCTGCCGCTCTGGGGTCAAACTGTGGGATTACCCGGGTAGGACGGTCTGATGTCCAGACCACACCCACAGGCCCTGTTCTGATGCGATCCTGCAGCCTCGATGCCTCGACTGCTCAGTCTGATCACGGGGCCGTTTTCTTCTCTGACGTGATGCTTCATATTCAGCTGGATCAGTGACGGATGGAGGCACTTTTACTGCAGTCACACAAATCCTAAACAGGGAGGAGACAAGCCAACAGTGTCTGTGCTCGGATCCATCAGATACTTGATAGAGCGAGGCTTCAAACAGAAGTCAAGCCAGCACAGAAGACCATTTGCTGCCCTCTCCCCTCCCTGATGGACATTTATTCCTCCCGCTGCCTCAGCAGAGCAACAAACATCATCAAGAACAGCTGCGCCCTGGTTCTGACCTGTTCAACCTGCTGCCCACAGGTGCATCAGCACAAAGACCCACAGACTCAAGAACAGTTTAAGGTCTCAGTCTTATTCACAGAAGATGTTCCTGTAAGCAAAGAAACCATGATGCTTACTGTGAAGACTACAAAAGTTTGGTTTACAAATCCAGTGCCAGCAAATAGTGCAGAGACTGTAATTGATTGTAGATCACTGTAGTGGTTAACCGCACTCAGGAT